CAAGGACTTTAAAAGGGGGTGAAGGAGAGGGAGCAAATCCATAAGTATTGGTCCTGCCCGTTACCTTCTCCTTGTGCATGTTCAGTGTTGGAATTTGGAGTGCAAGCTCTGAAGAGAATTCTGGTCCCATTCATTTGAATGTAATTGGAACTCTCCCTTGTGGTAGACTGACCAGATATCCTGGTTTAGGGGAGACATCCTGGGCATCAGGCATACAAACCCCAAATAGGAAAAGAGTTGTTGAGAGTTCGGCAGCATACAAGTTTAATCGGTCAGCCAGATGTTTAGATTGGATTTGGCATTTTTATCCACCTATCGAGTCCTCCCCAAGGACCTGGGGTAGGCAGATGTTGTTTAATGGTGTCAAAGGATCGTCACAGGGTGTAAGCTGTTCCAAGTAAAGCTGCCTTTTGCAATCGACTGATGGTGATTTTGTCACTGCTAATGGTCTTCAAGTGGTGCTCCAGATGTTTTGGGATTGCACCCAAAGTGCCTATTACTATTGGTAGTATCTTTGCTTTCTTTTGCCACAGTCATTCTACTTCTGTTTGCAGGTCTTTATATTTTATTATTTAGGATCGTCACAGGGTGTAAGCTGTTCCAAGTAAAGCTGCCTTTTGCAATCGACTGATGGTGATTTTGTCACTGCTAATGGTCTTCAAGTGGTGCTCCAGATGTTTTGGGATTGCACCCAAAGTGCCTATTACTATTGGTAGTATCTTTGCTTTCTTTTGCCACAGTCATTCTACTTCTGTTTGCAGGTCTTTATATTTTATTATTTTCTCCAGTTCTTTCTCTTCTATTCTGCTGCCTCCAGGTATGGCAATGTCCACTATCCAGACTTTTTTGTCATTATTATTATGGTTATTATTATTATTATTTCCCACTTTCTAAGAGGCCAGCTTGGTTGACTGGTAGCAACAGCATAAGCAGCAGGATGCTCAAATGGTCAAAGCAGCACACATCACAGTGCAGGCAACAACTTTTTAAATTGCCCCTAGTTCAGTCAGGTATATAATATCAGGGCTGGAAAACTCCACAGGACTGCTAGATGGCAATAAAGAGTTTTCTGTATCCCACTGCTGCCATCTAGAGACATTTGGAGTCTTACAACCCAAACATGGAAGTCTAAATTGAGTTTGTGCAAGTACTTGAAATTATGGATGGACATTAATAAATAAGTAAATTATACAAACAAATGAATCCCACCTTTCATTTTTGGAAATCTGGAAATGGTGAGTCATTGCCTTCTTCAAAGATGTTGCCTACACACTAGTATTCCTGGCAATCTCCCAATTACTAACCAGGCCCAACCTTGCTTAACTTTTCAAGATCAGCTAGTTGCTGTTATATAGCTAGGCAATATCTTTTATAGAACCAGCCAGAGTAGCAGAAAAGAATGTGCAAGCTTTTGTGTTCTCCAGTACTCTTCATACGCAATATGTTACAAAAAGCAGGGAACAGAAAAGAAAGACCACCAGTCAAGCCACTGAATTAGACTGAATGGATTTGTTACCAGTAAATCTCACAGGTGTCAAGTCAGAAGAGAAACAGTTGCTTCCCCAACTTTGGAAGCACTCATTGATAGCTAATCTATATCCCACCACAAATTTAAACTTCTGCATGTTCTTTTGTGCTGATTTGCTTGATCCTAAACAGAAACATACCCAACAAGACGTATTTGCATGAAATTGATCATGTGATCCCATTTCAGTTAGGGATTTCTTCAGAATATTGTATAATGTGCATATACTGTAGAAAAATGGTTTTGGACTTGGTGAATTGGGATAAACAATATAAATTATGAAATAAAATGGGATGAAACTGAAGTGAAGGAATATTTTAGGGAGAATGAGAATGATACTGATATGACAAAGGGTGTTATTGAAAGAAATGCTCTACTTTAGTGTCCAAGAAAAAAATGATGAAAAAGAAGTCAAAAAAATGGTATGATATTATTGAAAAATGGTAAGCCTGATAGTATGCATGGTATAACATAAAATCTACAAAAATATAACTGTGTGGTTTGCTTACTGAGAGGTTAAGCAACTTGTATAATGTGTGTGTGAAGATTACTTCTGTGTCTGAAAATTGGAAGAATGCTGTTACCTAGAAAGGGAGAAAGACTGTACATAAAACTACAGGTTTTAGCTTGTTAAGCATGCCTGGGAAGATATTTGACAGAATTCTGATTGAAAGGGTATGAGAAGCAAATATGAGCAAAATTTGGGAAGTACACTGTAGTTTTATGCTAGCAGGGGGTGTGCAGAAAAGATGTTTTGCTCTTTGACAAATCATTAAGAAACAAAATGTGAGGAAGTTTATGATATATCTGTTGATTTAGATGAAGCACATGATAACATGAATAGGCTTAAATTATAGAATGTTTTGAGCAAATATGGACGTGCAAATTGCTGAATTTGATAAGAGCAGTATAGAATAGAGTTGATATGTATTGAAATCCCAGGTAATTGAGTCAGTGATTGCAAGTTACACATAAATGGTGAAAAACTAAAATAGATGAATTTGTGTACCTTAATAATGTTTCCTAAAGTGAATGAAGAAATTTTAAAATATGCAAATGCTGAAAGATAGTATGCAATATGTGGTCTTTTGCAAGGAGTGAAAGTTTGCAGAAGTGAAAATGGTTGTGTACTGCAGCCTGCTTCTGCCTACTTTGTTATCTGGAAATGAGAATTGGGTATGTCAGGAAAACCATAAAAGTAAGTTGAATAAAGTGGAAATGGGTTATTTGAAAAGAGTGTGTGTGGTAGGAGACAGGGGCAAGCATGAATGGATGCTGAAAGAATGTGACTGAAGACCAAAGTGAAGGACCAGCATGAAGGATGTGTTGTTTGGTCATACAGAGAGGATGAAGGAAGGATGAATTGCAAAACAAAGATATGAACAAACAGTGAATGAGTTAAGAGGAAGGGAAAGACTGAGAAAATTGTGAGAAACTTTTAAGAGGAAGGGAAAGACTGAGAAAATTGTGAGAAGCTAGCAGAAACCTAATTCATCAAATATTTCTCCTTTCAGAAGAGAATGGGATGTAGTTAATAATAAAGGATATCTTAAAAAAAAAAAAAAGGAAAGTAGTTTTCAAATTGAGTTCAACTATTAGTGACTTTGTGGACACAAACATAACGTTTTTGTGGCCAGAATACCAAGTGGTATGACATTATCTTCTTTTGGGATGGGATTTTTTTGTGAAATTGCATTCATGGAAGAACGTAAACGGGGTTCTTCTGTTTCAATTCAGCTACTGCTGTAGCAGCAATTAAGTCTCTTTACTGAGGCTGTTTGATATGTGGATGAGATGATTATTCACCTCCCTATCTTACACTTTCCACAATCGTCAAAATGGGATTATAAAGACCATTTCTACGTTACCTTCTTTTATAATTAATTATTACACCATTTAAGAATAGTGCACATTGACTGCAAGCCAATGTTTGCAAAAGCTGGCTTGAACTCTGTAAGACTTATGCTCAACTGTAACGGAAAACAACATTAAAATGTTAATCAGGCTATGCTGTTGTGATTGCTGAGGAAAGATACAAAGCTATTGAACGTATATTATGCCACAATACTCCTTCTCATGTGATAAGTGCCCATAGGAAAACAACCGCAAGAAGATGGGGATAACCAGCATCTAATGGGAAAAGAGTGTAAGAGGAAGGAAGGAACAAATCGATGGCTCTGTGGAAGAAACAGAACTGTTTAGACTGTTTATTGGAAGAAAAATCAGGTAATGATTGACTAGACTGACAAGAGATATCTTGCCTCTCCCCTCATGCATGAAGATGGCAAAGCCATAAATAGGTAAGATAATGGTTATTCTTTCATATTCTTGGAAAACAAAAAAAGGCCCCTTCCGGGGGACTCTGTTTGCTTTAAGCGAAATGTCTGGTATATTTTGATATTCTTGATGGTTATTAGGTGAACGCATCTAAATCTAAAGGTAAACCACCACAGGCTATTAGTTAACCACAGTTAAGTGCATAGGTAGTGTTGGCCACAAAAATCATGGTTTCAGCCCAGCCCTTTAACCCGATGAAAGACTGGACTCGAGAAGCTCAGTTACTCATTTATTAAGGCACCTTAGTAAGTGAGCACCCCTTCCCAAGAAGAGAGGCCGGAAATTAGAAGGCATGAATCATTTATTCCTTTTCAAAGACAGCTTCGTTATCAGTGATTACATGATTGGTTACATAGTTGAGCATGCGTACTTAATAACTAACATCCCACAATAACATAACATGCTTTCAAACCACAGGTATGGCGGCATCCATGACAGCTGGTGGTCGTCTGTATCTGGGACGCTTAGTGGTTTTAGAACATCTTTATTTTAAGCCTTGTCTGAATACACATCTACATCTCTGCTCCTGTCCTTCTGCTGACCGACGTCACACCTGCTTTCACACAAGATCGGTATCTTCCTCTTTCCGCTCATTTGCAGACTTAATCAGAGAGATCGTTGTCATGCTCTGCTGAGGGGTACAAGTTCAGTAGCCCATGACCCTGGTCAGACCCCAACTCTATTAACTCCAGTTTTGCTGATATCAGTAGACCACATGCTAAACCACGTTTTGTAATCATTGGATTCAGACAGCTAAAAGCGTAGACGAGGAAACCACACGTTTGAAGAAACGTTAAGAGCCCACTTTGATTTGTAAATGGCGGGTCCAGCATTTTGCCTGATCCTAGCCACCGTTTGTCAAATCTGTGCGCGAAGTCACTTAATTTTCATGGCCATATCGTACTGTTACATGAACTTCTTCGGCGAGCGTACAGCGTTACGAAAGCATCTGCTGTTCCTAACATCAGAAGTTCATCTCGTCAGACACAGGGTCCGAGGCTTAAAGTATTTTCTTCAGAGAAAGAGGCTGTGGGCGGACAGAGATAAAAAGCCAACTTTCGATTCCCCAACAGAGCCGCCTTCGTTGGCTCCAGGAGGGCGCGAGCTCCCGCCTCCTGACACAAAAGCGCCGAGCCCCGCCGCTGGCCCGCCAGAGCCTCCGCTTCCTTCCCCTGAAAATGGCGAGCGGCATCCAGTTCGCGCACTCACCGCAGGGCCAGGGCGGGTTGCCGAACTATGAGCAGCTGAAGGAGGAGCACGATATGGGGATGATCGGGGCTCCCGGGGTGCCGGCCGGGGCCACCGTGATTCGCATGCACTCGCAGCAGGTCTATGCGACGCCGCCCCGCGACCACGTCCTCTGGTCCCTCTGCACCACGTTATACCTAAACGTTTTCTGCCTGGGGTTTTTGGCCTTGGTTTTTTCCATTAAGGTGAGAACGCGCTGGGTGCTTTCTGTGTGTTTCCCTCTCCTCGCTCGTTCCCCGGGAGCGCAGGGCGTTTTTCCGGAAAACTTCTAGGTTCCGATCGAGCGCTTGCATTATAAAGTTAACTGTCCGAAGAACTCGATCCTGTTCCTCGGTACTCGGAAGTCAGCGCCATTGACCTCCTTGGGGTTCGTAATGCGCAGCGGGTTCATTATGGCCGTTGCGCGGCAGAGAAATACCCCGTCGGGCCTGGGTTCCCCGTTTGATCGCGCTCCTTTGGATCCAAATTCCACGGTGGGGGAAGGAAATCGCTTACAGTGGCATGGGAGTAACTTGGTCGTTTTTAGGATTGCCCAAGAGATCGGCCTGAAATAGAGAGTGAAAGCGAGGTAGCCCAAAGAAGTGATTCAATGGGGCTGTCCCGTTCAGTGTAAGTGGAAATTTTGCACTGGGCAGTTTCTGCTCCCCCCCCCCCTTTTTTTGCATCTTCGTTTAAATTAGAAGTTTAGAGGATACTTTACTACCCTGTAATATCTTCCTCTTCTTCTCATTGGCTGGGTTTACAAATCAGCAGCCATATTTTATCCTGATAAATTGTGTGAACTCAGCCTAAATGCTTATTGGTTGAGTGTCACTTGAAAACTCTGAACATCTGACTGAGTAAGGCATTGTTAAGCCAGTTGTGGGTAAATATATTGTGCATGATGTACAATTTCTTATTTTGAAAGGGGTTATTTTCCCTCTGCTGTAGGATATACTTCAATGTTCATGTTCATTACTTAATACTTCATGGGAAGACAGTTGATGTCTTTAGGAGGAATGATTTGCATATTGTTATGAAGATGTGGTGTTTGATACACCCTGTGGCATTGACACAGGCAAGTTAACACCTGAGGCTGCATTTGTTAGGTGATGTATTGGCAGGTATGAAGCAGCCTTAATCAGAAGTAGGAATAAAATATTCTGAGTAGCACTTATGACACATCCTGTTATCTTACACAGTTTAGTCAGACTCTTGGGTTTCAAAACTATAAATCCTTGATTAAGAGCAACAGATAGCTGGCTAAGTTTACATCATATACTTGTAGCTTAATGGGTTGTGTGAACCCAGCCAGTTATGGTTTATTTAGGAAACTATGGTGAAACATATCTTGACTGAATGTTGTGTGAATACATTATTTATGCAATTTCTGTAGCCGCCCATCTCAATCCAAGTGACTCATTAATTTTCCTTTCTGAGGTTGCACAACCTTTCTACAGTTACTGAAATGTAAATACTAACATTTGTTGTGCATTCTGTCCTTACGTTCAGTTTCCCATGTTGGGTGTGCAGGGTTCCTAGCCATAGAGAAGAACATGGTACGTCCCCATCTACTTTCCATGCTTGGCATCCAACAGAGCTGCTCTGTGGATCATTAGGCATCTGATTATTTACAGATGTGAACAGCTGAATTAATGCATTCTGCTAAGCTTTAGTTGTCTCCTGAACTCCTCAAGCTTGTTCATGGATGTTGCTCAGAGATTCAAGTTGCCCAACTGCTAGTGTAGTTATCATGCTGCATACTTGTTTATGTGAATTAACCTGTTCATACATTATAATTCTCTGCACTTTGTTTTGAATGTAACAAAGATATAACCCATGAAGCACAATATCAACAAACCAGTTTAGATAATTTGACAGAAATCTCACATATAAGAAAGTGAGACGTATGCAGAAAATTCTAACGAATGGCCAGATTGATCCACATATGCAAGTATGCCACATGATAATTGTAATAACAGTTGGGCAACTGAATCTCTGAGCTTCCTTAATTTTCAGTTATTGCTTTTGCCTCCAACATCCATCCTTATAAGCTTTCTCAAGCACCAGTTTCAAATGCAATGGTGCTAATAACGAACTGCAATGGGAAAAAAGAGCAATTCCACTTCAAATAGAGCAGGTCCTACTCTGAAGCTGCAACTGAGTGCAGGGCTCAATTGCAATCACAATTCAGCTTCTTACATCTGAGGAAACTTGTATAGGAGATCTCAGTATATTTAAAAATGACCATACAAAATGTACAGATCAATGTGTGATCCTTCTTTGAATTCCTTGATTTCTAAAGTTGCCACTCCTCTCAGTGTAGAAAATTGTCCAGACTTTTATATACTCAACTGTACTGCCATATTTTACATGTATTGAAAGGGTTGCTGTTAAGCTAATGGCTAATCTAAGCAGGCTGTTTCCTGAAGGTGGGGAATAGTAGTGGAATGCAACTCAATTCCAAACACATTTCCGGAGTAATGCAAAGACAAAAATGTGTCCTTTGTCTCCTAGAAACCATAGTTCTTGTAACAAACAGTATCATAAGGTCCAGCTGCATTTGTTCTGCATGTCTCATCCTTGCAAGTGAGATATTTTGGCCAGTTCTCGCCTCCCCTGATCACATAAACATGGCATTCTTGCATGCTGTTTTGCAAAGAATATTTTCTCTTAATTTGGTGCCATAATTGAAGTTCAGGAGTGTGCCAATAGTTCTTCTATAGGTTGCTTCCAGTAATGGATCTTTTCTTTCTTCTCTCCTGACAGGCCAGAGATCGCAAAGTGGTTGGGGACTACAATGGAGCTTCCAGCTACGGTTCTACTGCCAAGTGTTTGAACATTGTTGCCCTCCTGCTGAACATCCTGGGTGTTGTTATTGTCATCATCATCTTTGCAGTACTGATTAATGCTAACAAACAACAGCTGCCCTACCCTCACTGAACCATGCATCAGCATAATTTCCTTTTGAAAATTGCCCACCTCCTGTCCTTGATACAAGAGCTTCTGCTCCTACTTCTTGGTGGTTGGCCTTCTCCCTCCACTCCTAATCCTAATGTGTTGTTGCCCAAAAAGCAGCCCTTGCTTTGAGAAACTAGTACAGTATTTGCAAGAATGGGTCTCTTGCCATTGCCCAGATGGAAGTGGTCAAGGGTCCATTTCAAGAGCTGGAACGTATAACTGCATTATTGATGTATGATTTCAGGCTGCTTTTTAAATATTACACATGGCCTTGTTGCCTCTTCTGCACTCTTGACTTATTTTTCTACTGGCTATACCCAGGCAGCTTTTTGTTCAATTGAATGTTACTGATCTGGAAGGACCATGGTGTAGCCTGGAGGAAGGAATCACTCTGAAAGGATGCAAAAGAATCAGGCGGCAAAGTTCTGCTCCTGACACGTTCCTAGGCTGGCGTGGGGGTTCCTATATTTTTCTATAACTTTTGTAATAGGAAATGATTGTAGAGCTTGGTATGGTCTGTTCTAAAATATTTGTATAATTTTTGAATAAATTGTATGGTCTTGAGCATGTTTGTAGTTGGCTTTTTTTTTTAAAGGAGCTCCAATCCATCACAGTGAAAGGGATCCTATAAAATGTGCCTCAGCTATAAGACTGGTGTTAACCTGAAGTATCTGCACACTGCATGCTCCAGCAACCATCTTACAGCATTTGCATAGTATCTTGGAGATGGCTCAAAGGTGCCCCCCACCTTAGAAGACATGACAGCTGTAATCAAATGCTCATTTCCCCCCTCCCCATCCTTGTAGCAAGACTTCTTCCAGACAAACACTTCTATTGTAGGGAATTGCTGGGGTAAAGGTCACAATTTATCACAACTTTAGACACTGGTCCACACTAAGTATCTTTCTCAGAGATGCCTTGCCATGGTGGCTGTAGCAGTACTGATGTCATGGAAATCCATTTAAATGGCATTGTAATATCAGTGCAAACACATTTCTCCCAGAGGTCATAACTAAGGTCCTATGTCTAACCTGCATTAATAAAGAAGTGTTCACTTGAAATAAATCTGGATAAATCTTGGGAGCTGCAGGCAAATGGCTACTGTACAAGAGTCTAAATCACCTGAATTTTTATTCACTGGAACTGGCCTGTCCCTTGCAGATTTCCTGGAAAATCCAGGCAGCAGTCTATTGGTGATTTTCTAGTTCTGGACCTCACAGATTACACAAATGCTTGGAACAGACTTGGGGACCAATTTTAGGATTGGGCATTATAATGCATTCAGAACTCCAAAAAAATCAGCCTGATCAAGTTATTGAACTACCTTCCCCAGTGAGAAAGCCTAAGAAAAGGGGAACTGATAATGTCACACAGAAATTTACAGGGCAGAGGGATAAGTTCTGCCCTTGAGATCAGTGGAGAAGAATATTTAATAAGCCATACAAAGTAGATCAATAAACAGTCTTCTAATAAACCTAAATAATCCTATAGACTAATTCTGCATTCAATTTTTCATACTCCCTGCAATGTTGGATAGCTAGCCCAGAGCAAGCATGAAACGGGAGGGAGAAGTTTTGTTTACAAGCTGACCTTTGACTGTAGCAGGTAGTCCTTTTTTCAGGAAGGTAATGGCTTTCTGTAGGCTTCTGGATTGGGGCCTTCTAGAATTTTAACCAAAGTCCCCATTGTTGCAAAGTGTCCATGCAGCCCTTTTACTTCACATTGGTTCCCTTCCTTGATGGTAGAATTTAGCACACGTCCAGGAATCCAGGGTTTGCTTCAGAACATCTTTGCTTTGTACAAAGGCTCCAGCTTCCTCCTAGTGCTCCCTTAAAACACTTGTCTCAAAAACAACATGTGGAAAACCAAATACAAGTTGTCCTTTGTAGATGTTTTCCATTCATTCGCCGTTCACACTAAATGGCTAATCTATGGGTAGTTTATTCCTTTCAGGAAAAAAGTGGCTTATGGTGTTCCAGACACGGATTGCTGGAGTGGGAGTGATATAATGTTTCTTCAGAGTTGCTTCACACATGCTAGTCAGAATCTTGTGGACAGCACCATCATAGTGAACAAACCATTGAAGACCAAATACTAGAGATGAGGAATTTCACACTGCTTCTCAAATGCTTTTAGTGGCATGCATTCATGTTAATCTGCACGTCCAAGAATTCAGTGACTAAGCGAAAGGCAGCCAAGTGATATTCTTATATGTAGATCTTGATGAATATTCTTCATATCTAACATATATGTAATGAAATGTCCACAGTCATTGATATCAAACCATTAGTTGAAACTGGGCTAGGTTTCCCTATAGCTATTTTCCAAAGTTATTTCAGAACTTAACAGCTTCATGGGAAGAAGAATTGCTTCTTTTTCAGACAATGCAGCTTAGCAATATCCTATAGCAGAATGTTTACTGCTGCAAGCCCACATTCTAATTAGTTTGGAGGTCTGAAACAAAAAGGTTTTTAACAGGCTATTCATTGGAACAGGAAATAGTACAGGGAAGCACAGCAGGAAAACGCATCAAAAGTTGAACCTCCCTACTCACTAGTAGGGAGACAGAAAAGTTCAAGCAAGTTGCAGATTGTGGGGGAGGTATAACATGTTTTATTTTAAAGTGTATTGTGTGTAAGTACTGACACTAACCAGGACAAGATAGGTTTTCTCCAGTGTGCTCTCCAGAGAGGATGAGGGCTCACTTTTCTTAGATAACCTAGCTATCAATGAATGCTAACTGACATAACTGAAGTAAAAGGTTGATTTACAGGTGGTCCTCATTTAGCGACCACTATTGAGACCAGCAACTCAATCATTAAGTGAAGTGGTCACTAAGTGAAACTGCAACTGTGCTTATGATTTTACTTCAGCTTTCCTTTGCTTTACAGACCTGCAAAGATTATAAATGCAAGGACTGGTTGCAAAGCTACTTTTTCATCACTGTCATAACTGCAAATGGTCACAAAATGAGACAGTCGCTAAACAAGGACTACCTGTATTAAGAAATACATAGGATAAGAAAACCTTACTTCTACCTAAATTGCATCTTGAAATGATAAAAAGACAAGAGATAAACAGGAAGTTCCCTAGTCTCTGAAACATAGAGACTCATTTTACTAACAGGCCACGTAAAACACAGAAATTTAGGGGAAAGATGTGAAGCCCCTTATCTATTTCTTGCTGTTTGCCCTAGTGGTTAAAAAGGCCCATAGGAGCAAGAAATGATGCAATCTCCAACAACAAGGGCTAAATAGATCTGTGTCTTCAAGAGTAGAAACCAAGATCTTAAAAGGGAAAAGGTCCAGTTCTATTTTATTGATAGTAATACACTGTATAGGTTGCAATACAATGTGTTGGCCTTCGAGGCCACCATATAATATCAGTACAATATATCTCCCCAGAACACACTAAAGAGGATATTACTACTAAATTAAGAATGTATTGTGTAACTTCTTCAGTAAAGGGAGGTGGGGATGGGGGAAAGCAGGGTGTCCAATTCACTTTGACAATCTGAACATCAATCTGAACTTTTCTAGTCAGCTGCAGGCAAGCCTTTAGTGAAATCACAAATGGACCATCTTGGGTTTCACTGATCAGATATTCCTTGTTAAACACTAAGAACCTTGATTTAACCAATACAAAGCTACTCTCTAAGCTGGTCTGCCAACAACACTGGGAGGTCAGTGCGCCCCTTATGAATTCAATGGTGTACTTGGCAAAGCAATACATGATCCAGTTTAATGAGTTTTCAAAAGTTCAGCAGTGTGCCTGAGACTGTATGTGAATCTTAAGTCATTTGAAGCCAGCTGCATATTTATTCCAATCTGCTGAGAAAGCTTTTTACCATACTGTGTGCACAAAAGACACTTGCTCCATATTTGCTAAGCTTGTACAATTAACACCTTGTTACCAGACTTTTTCTGTGGAGGTCTAGATCTTCATATAGTTGAAGTAATTACTGAATGATGGGGGGGGGGCAGTGGGTAAAAAGCTGAACTGACAACCATTAATCTGTAAAGCTGCTTTGTCTAAGATAATTCAGTCCTTGTGTCTGTCCAGTAGGACTCAATCTGTAAATTGCAGATGGCTGGCTGAATCCTGTTCGGCTTTCAGTTCAAATACTAACATGAGAAGTATTCTCCACTGAAAGGCTATACAAGCTTTGCAGGAAAAAGGCCATTAATGATAGAAGTGAGCACAGTGTTATGGGCTAATGTAAACACAAGATATTCACCCATATTGAAGGGCATTGTTCACTCTAGATTTTCAAAGGATCAGGTCCACTGGTATTGGGGGGCTGATGCTGTATGCTGAAGATGAGGCTCTGCTCTTCACATGGAGCAGCATTATCAGTTTGTCTGTCCTGGAACATTATTACAGTTTCTGTAGTATGCAATTTCTCCAGGACTTTCTGAAATATAGGCCCTGCCTTCCTGCTTGCTCTGAGGAATGAATCCTTATTCACAGCAAGTCATTGCAGGTGAAGTGTCCTAGACAGCACCTAATTTGCCATGATGGCAGCAATGAGGTGTAGATTTGGTCCATGCCATCACTCCTTATGGCTTGCCTTGCTCTGAGGAAGGACCTCTATCATGGCACAGCATTGAAGATTGGAGGGTACTAAAACCTGCGGATCTTAGTCTAACAGCTAGCCAGTTCTTCCAACAATCTACAGACTGCAGAAGGTAGCAATAGAGGAGATGATAGCAGGAGTCTGGTTTAGATAGTAATGCTAGCTCTTCTTCCTGGGCCCTGAATTAGAGGTGCAGAAGAGAAAGCGGGACCACTTACCTTGCTCAAGGGCCTCTAAAAAGCTAGAACCAGCTTTTGGTGTTTCTGGGGGCACTGATATGCTTACCTCTGATCATTTCTTCCTGTTGCTTCTGTTTTGGCACAGGAACCTTGTGAGAAAAACGAGGCATTTTCTATACCACCACGCTCCTAAGCTTCCACATTAAATGAATAAATGAATTCAAAACCAAAGTGGAATGCTGCCTTCCTTCCCAATACCTCTGAACCCTGGTTTCTCTAATAAGGAGAAAAATCAATAAACCAAGCAGTCTGGTTTCAGGTGAAGGTTGCTGAACTGAACTTAGTATAACTTCATTATAATCTTCAGAACATTCATCCATATAACTCAGCGCTGCCTACGGTGAGGTGTGGAACCGTTTTCCTCATGAGAACTATGTTCCCATGGTCTAATCGGGAGCTGTATGCTGGCCCAGGGTGGGTGATCTGATAAGCAGTTGACAATTTATGGAGAACATAGCACAAAGAATACTTAAAAACTAACATAGAAGGCCATCCAAGAAGCAGTAATAACCCATAAGAATTTGCACATTGTCCAATAATTTAGCTCAATAAGAGAAAGTCATGAAGTTCAGAGAGTAACATACTGAATTCAAGAGAGAAGGTCAAGGGATCTGGAGCGCAATGCACTGGATTCAGTAAGATAAAAGCCTGGAGTTCAGACATGGCAAAAGTAATGAGAGAAATTTTAAAAAATGTTACTGTATACCCTGAACCAAGCTAATGCCATGTTTAGCCACTGCATGAACTTT